TCTTTATAGGACCAAATGAGACCAGTTCTGGAGGTCTTTATAGGACCTGATGAGACCAGTTCTGGAGGTCTTTATAGGACCAAATGAGACCAGTTCTGGAGGTCTTTATAGGACCAAATGAGACCAGTTCTGGAGGTCTTTATAGGACCAAATGAGACCAGTTCTGGAGGTCTTTATAGGACCAAATGAGACCAGTTCTGGAGGTCTTTATAGGACCAAATGAGACCAGTTCTGGAGGTCTTTACAGGACCTGATGAGACCAGTTCTGGAGGTCTTTATAGGACCAAATGAGACCAGTTCTGGAGGTCTTTATAGGACCCGAGGAAACCAGTTCTGGAGGTCTTTATAGGACCTGAGGAGACCAGTTCTGGAGGTCTTTATAGGACCTGAGGAGACCAGATCTGGAGGTCTTTATAAGACCTGGTGAGACCAGATCTGGAGGTCTTTATAGAACCCGAGGACACCAGTTCTGGAGGTCTTTATAAGACCTGATGAGACCAGATCTGGAGGTCTTTATAAGACCTGATGAGACCAGATCTGGAGGTCTTTATAAGACCTGATGAGACCAGATCTGGAGGTCTTTATAAGACCCGAGGAGACCAGATCTGGAGGTCTTTATAAGACCTGGTGAGACCAGATCTGGAGGTTTTTGTAGGACTTGAGGAGTCCAGTTCTGGAGGTTTTTATCAGACCAGTTTTGGTCCAGATGTGTACCTGACCCCATGCAWGAGTCACTAATGCACCCCCACACCATCAGCGAGGCAGGTTTTGAGTTGATAACAGACCGCTCCGTGGTTTCACATGGTGTGAACATGTGGCCTCTTCTTTGTGTGATAGAGCTTTACGCTGCGTTTGTGGACCCCTGCCTGCTCCATTTAGACCCACTGCTCTAATGGACCTGCTGACAGTTGATTGAAGGAGACACTTTGGGTTCAGACCCAAGGTTTGGTGCAGTGGCAGGTTCTGCTCAGTGAGCAGACCCAGTCTGGTGTCAGGTCTGTTAGAGACAGGATGGGTGGAGTGTTGTCGCCTCAGGACCGTCTGTAGCTCTAGTTTCACTTCCTGAGTCTGTTGGGCTTCTCTCAGCTCCTGAAGAACAGCTTCAATGTTTCAGATTCAAAGTTCAGCAAAAACTCACATTATTGTGGTGAAAAAACTAAAAATATAAAAAGCGGAAGTGAAACGTTGTAATGAAACTGACTGTGTTACATAAGTTTKAGATATTTTCTATTTTTTTTGTCAGGTCATGTTGGTTTCATGCACTTCCTGTTCCTCGGCTTCATGAGGTGTTTCTGAAAACCGCCTAAAAACGACGACACAACAGGGTTTGTTTTAGGACAAACCTTTAGCTTTTATATGAGCTAAAAATGATGCATCGAACAGACCGATTAAGAAAGTGGTGAGGTGAATTTTAGCTGCTATCTGCTAGCTTAAAGGTTCGGCTTTTATAGAGAGAATCTACAATTATCCCGAAAAAAAACACAAAAATTAAACCGGAACAGTCTGAAAACTTATCTTGTTTTAGTTCTTATTGTCGTCTGTTGTATCCCGGTGTGTGTGTGTGTGCGTGTGTGTGTGTGTGTGTGTGTGTGTGTGTGTGTGTGTGTGTGTGTGTGTGTGTGTGC